AAAAGGTTTGTGTTTTGTACAAAATCTAGGCTTGGATGATCTCAGATCCATGATAGTTACTTATCCTCTTTTAGTCTGTTTTGCATGTAATGTACATATAGTAATAATCTCTTCTTTAGCAGTGTGAAAATATGTATGAAACTTATCATGAACCAAGTCTCTGCCATTCTTCTGGGTGTGTGTTGTTTTCAACAGTCTCGGGTAGCCAGGTTTGCGTGGAACTTTCTATGTAGCTAAAGTTATCTTGAACTTTTGATCATCCCACCTCTACCTCCCAAGTCCTATGATGGCAGGTGTGCTAGCTAATTCACCAATTCCTAGAGTTTTTACTATGTTGTGAATTTCTTCATGGTAGGCAGTCTATTTCTCAAGTATACAGAAAAAGAGTATTAGTATATGCTTTTAGGCTGTAGTTGATACTTTTGTTTTCTACATCAGCAAACTAGATTTCTACAGGTACTCTCTACAGTTGGTCACCACCCTACTGTTTGAGATAGTTTATGTAGTACTGTGTGAGTAAAATTTCACTTATTAACCCACTTAACAATTGAACATTGACTACCTACTGGACACTGTTCTGGTGCTAAAAAGAAGAGATGTTTTTGGCACAAGAGTTACAGCTTGAGTGTATATGTGTGTGTTAGTTGGGAGTACTACCTAAGCACTAAAGAAATAAAAAAGAGCTGCGTGGTGGTGGTGCACACCTTTAATCCCAGCACTCGGAAGGCAGAGCCAGGAGGATCTCTGTGAGTTCAAGGCCAGCCTGGTCTACAGAGTGAGATCCAGGACAGGCACCAAAGCTACACAGAAAAACCCTGTCTCAAAACAAAAAAAAAAACAAAACCTAAATTTTGGATGGAATGAGGAAGTAAGATTTTTTTTTCCGGCCTCTCTGAGATTAAGGGTTGAACACAGAGCCATAGTCTGCTAACTCAGTGCTGTCTTACATGCCAGTCTCTTGACTAGAATGACGAAAATGAAGTGATTTTAGTATTTTCTTCAATAGACTCACTGACCTGTGACTGTGACATCAGTCCTGGTGGACTTCCTATTAGTCAGGCTAATACAGTAAAACTATTTATTTACCAGGTAGGGTGATCCTAAGAAATTTCACAGTAGTTTTCACAAGGCTGCTTCCTTTTCATTTTTCAAAATATCATGCGACTTTGATACAGTCTATTTTCATTTTTAGGAGTTCAGTCTCCTGATACATAAATTGAGTAAGAGGGAGTAGATAATCCATTTCCATGTGGTTTTGGTTTCATAAGAGGAAGATTAAGTTACTCCAAATCATGTGTATACACTGATAAAACTTGTTCTGCTTATTTTTAGGTAGTACTGATAATTTTTACTACAGTTAAATTATCGACCATCGGTGGTAGTAGTTTATTTTGTGAATGTAAGAAATCTATTTTAAACAACAAACAAACACTTGTAGTTTAGGCTGGAGAGGTGGCCCAGCAGTTAAGAGCATGTACAGCCCTTGCTCTTCCTGGAGATCTGAGTTTGATTCCTAGCACACATACCAGGTGACTCACAACCACCTGTAACTTCAGCTCCAGAAGTGTCTAATACCTCTGGGCACCTGTGCTCATGTACACATGCCTACTCACACACATACACAAAACTTAAAAAATAATAATAATGAAAATTATAAATCATATGTGTGTGTGTGTACTATTGTGCATATGTGGAGGACATTTTTTTTCACAGTCAGTTCTTTTCTCCTATGTGAGTCCCAGGAGACACCCTTAACCTGCTGAGCCATCTTACTGTCCTCAGAATGTATTTTCAAATTAACAATTGATGTAACCTTTGAACGCATTTTCTATGGCACATGAACTACCATCACAGAATGGTAGTTCCCAACTTTTGAAGTCTGTATAATATTTTATTTTTGGCATTTTTCATGAACATTTCATGTCAGGATCCTATGGAAAAGAATGAAGCTGTGTTATCTGTAAGTGGTCCTTTGATATATCTATTCTAAGTATTCTTTATGAATGAACATGTTGGATTTTGAGTACCTAGATTGACATAGTATTTTCAAATAGTAGTTGTTGTCAAACTTCTTCAGATTAATTTACAGTACAGGTGGTTGCTGATAGGTAGTAGCTTTACTTTTCTTCAAGTTTGGTTACATGGTAGAATGGAGTATCAGCTTTCCCCTCCTGCCTTTATCCCTGATGCCATACTCACAGCTAGATGACTGTAGGCGTCCCTCGAAGAGGAGGGAGCAGCAGATTGAACTATGTTTTTTCAGCAGGCAAAAGCGGATCAAGAGCAAAGAGCTCCGGAGCTCTGAGCCAAGGGCAGATAGGTAGTTCTTTCCCAGAGTTTCTCTTGCTAGGAGGTAGGAGAATTTTTAAGAACAACCCATAACTACTTGAGTAGTTTTCAGCTTTCACTGAAGAGCTTTTTACAAAGAAGGATTTCTGAAACCTGCACCAAAAGTTTCAGCTTGTCTTGGGTGTTATTAATATAAAAGGTTTCCTGGAATCATTGTGCAGCTGTGTGTAGCAGGAATCTCAAAAGTTATTAATAAAATAAAACCC